AAATCTAGCTATATACATAAAATATGTGCATTTAAAAAAAAAAGATGTATTCATTTACTATGTATACAGTGTTCTGCCTGCATGTATACCTGCAGGCCAGAAGAGGGCATCAGATCTCATTATGGACGGTTGTGAGCCACCATGTGGGTGCTGGGAATTGAATTCAGGACCTCCAGAAGAACAGTCAATGCTCTTTAACCTCTAAGCCATCTCTCTAGCCCATGTGTGCATTTTTAAGTATGTATACTTCAGCTGAAAATAAAGACTTGGCTGCATGTGGTGGTGCAGGCCTGTAAATCCCAGCACTTGCAGGTGGAGTCGGGAGGATGAGGGGTTCGATGCCAGCCTCAGCTACATACAGAGTTCTAGGCCAACCTGGACTGCATAAAACCAGTTCACAACAAGAAAAAGGGTCCACAACATCAGCGGCTCTGCTGAACCTCAGGAAATTTAGGGGATCAGCCTGTTCCAGCAGTGGGTGCAGAGCTGTACAAGGCTGTCTTAGGAGTCCAGGGAGCCCAGGCTATCTCTACATACCCGTCATACACGTATATGACAGAAGCACACGCAGCCCAGGAGCAGACCATACTCCTCCATCTTCTCTCAAGGCCTCTTTCTGTTTTCAACAGAACTTAACATGGTTCAGACTGGACTTCCAACTCATCATCTAGCTGAGGATGGCCTGGAGCTGATCCTCCTGCCTCAGATTCCAGGCTTTGAGCCACAGTACCACCTCTGAAGAGTTCAAGACGAGGAAACAGGCCCACACAGACTTGAACCTGGACTGGCTAGCCCAGAGCCTGTGTGCCAAGCTGCTGGAACAGGCTTTCTCCCAAGAAGTGCTTCCAGCTTTCCAAGAACCTGCTTTCCATAACATCATTTCCTCTAACTGTTCCTCAGCCAGGCAGGCAGGCCAGGAGCGATCATGCCCAGAGTCACACAGGAGATTGACTTAACTGACCCCACTACAGGTCCAGAAGCCTAGGGGTGGAGCTTCAGGATCAGATCCAAAGGTAAAATGGGTACAGCATGACCCGCACAGACAATACTATAGGGAAAGGATTAACAAGGTTGGGCCTTCGTCCAGGCAATCATCGTCCACGCCAAGAGGGAGGCACAAAAACCGAGCCATGGTTCCTTCACCAAGCCTGGGCTATGCCCAACAACTCTGGTGGACCCTAACTGTTGTATTTTAAAACTGGCCCGAAAGAGTCACCACAGGGCCCACATGGGAGGTTTATTGAGGGGAGGAGAGAGAAAGGGCAGAGATGGTGAAGGGGGGAGGGGGAGAGGAGAAGACAGGCAAAGCCTTCCTTTTGTAAGGGAACAGGAAATGCACACAGTGGGTGCTCTTAGTGGCTACAGCTGAGGATATACCCTGTCAGGACCCTAAGGGCAGGCCAGTACAGATGCCTAAATGCTGACACTAACCCCAGGCAGGTACACGGGACCAGGAGTGGCAGCATCTGTCCTCACTGCCCCATCCTCACTGTCCCATCAGCAGCTTGACTAGTTAGCAACGCTGGGAAAATAAATGTGTACAATCCTCCATTCCCTGCTGGGGAGGCTGCACAGGAGGGCTTTCCCGCCGATATGAAAGCCAGTGACACGTGGGAACAAGTCACTACTCACTACAGGTCCCAAAGCAGTGGGTCCAAATGGAGAAATGAGGTCATACACTGTTTCTGGACATAGCAGCTGCCATCGTGGTGGGGTCTGCCAGACCCTGGAGCTCAACAACCCTCAGAGCTTACCCCTTTCTGTGTCCCAGATCCGTCCCTGCTCTAACCAGACAGCAAATTCTGGCCTAGACAAATGCGGCCATCTCTTCTGATATCCCTTCCATGGCCAAGGACACCTGAACCAAAAGTTGCTGCCTGCTCAGAATACCCCACGAGCCCCCAGCCCTCGGGAGAGAGGCCCCGCCTGACCTCCCACCACCAGCTATTCTAGGACCTGGAGCATTGCCCCTGCTGTCTCACGGCTTCTAGCCATGGGGCCTTCATTTGTTTTTTTTTTTTTTGGTTTTTTCGAGACAGGGTTTCTCTGCGTAGCTTTGCGCCTTTCCTGGAGCTCACTTGGTAGCCCAGGCTGGCCTCGAACTCACAGCGATCCGCCTGGCTCTGCCTCCCGAGTGCTGGGATTAAAGGCGTGCGCCACCACCGCCCGGCTGGGGCCTTCATTTGTTTTTCCACAATACAAATGATAAATTAGACTTTCGGTGTGAGACCATGAAGCGGCGCATGGGATGCCAGTGGTCCTGGGTCCCTACAGGCAGTCGAAGCCCAGTTGCTTCCACCAGGTAAAGACGGGCTTTGTTGTGCCATGGGCATGGCGGCTGGGCGCTGTTTGGCACCTTCTCCTATCCTGGGATTGGAATGTGGGTTGGGAGCTGATGGGCGGCATTGGGAAAACCATGATGCAGAGTGGCGGCACCTTTGGCACATTCATGGCCATCGGAAGGGGCACATGAAGCTCATCAGGGCAGTGTTTGCCTGCTACATCTACACTGTCCTATCCATTTTGACCCTTGTACAATAATAAAGTTTAAAAAAAAAATCACATTTATATGGTAAATAAGTATCAACAGTCAACACAAATCCAAAACTGACCACCAGCCCTGGGCCTGAGAAACAGCTGGGTGATTTCCTCCAGGGTGTTCAGGACATGGCAGCACGTGTGTAGCACACATGGCAGTGACCAGTGGCTTCGTGATCCCTGCCTGCAGTGGGTCACAGGAACATCGCTAGATGGCCTGTGGGAGGGGGACACAGTGGCCACTGGGGTGGGCTCATGTCTTCTGCAGCAGTCACTAGCCTGACCCCCATTTCCTGAGCACTGGCATTCTCTCACATATGAAGACTTTGGCACATGCTCCCCACAACACTTGGAATGCTGTTTCTTCTCCATCCTTCCCTGGCTGCCATACAGGTCAGCTGAAGCTGATATCCAGACCTGGATGGGCTGCTAGCACCCCAGTACTGCCCTCTTCACACCCGGGCCTTCTCTCTCAGAACTATCTCCATTTCACCTGAGGCAGAGCCTGAGCACGAGGAGAGAGCCGCCCTCACCCTGCAGCTAGTATACCCTGCTGGAACAATAGAAAGGCCCTGGCACCAACCTTCAGCAAGCACCCAGTGCGCTGGGGCCAGTGGACCAAAGGAGACATGCAGGGGACAGTCTGTTAAGACCCCAGGGGCCTGAGAGATGACTCAGAGGTTAGGAACACTGGCTGCTCTTCCAGAGGACCTGAGTTCAATTCCCAACAACCACATGGTGGCTCTCAACCATCTGTAATGGGATCTGATGCCCTCTTCTGGTGTGCAGGCATACATGCAAATAAAGCACTCATATACATAAATAAATAAATAGATAAATAAATAAATCTTTTAAAAAAGAAAGGACCCCCGGGGGCTGGAGTGAAGGCTCAGCAGTTAAGAGCACTTGCTCTTGCAGAGGACCAGAGTTCAATTCCTAGCACTCACAATTACTCCTGACTCCAGTTCCAGGGCATCTAATGCCTTTTTTTGACCTCCATAGGCACCAAACATGTACATGGAGCACATATGCACATGCAGGCAAACACTCAAACAAAAGAAATAAATCTTACAAAGAAAAAGACCCCAGGTGCCCAGCTGGCTCTTACATTTGTGACCCCGCTCCGGTTCCGGGCCACCGTCTGAGATTTCAATGTTGTCTGTTCCACACGCTTACGAAGGGTCTCGAACTCATTCTGTGGGTCCAGGATGAGGAGGCAGGGGTACTCAGTGGCTCTTTGGAAGAAGGATATATCTGGGCACAGCCTCCTATTGGAATGGAAAGAATGTTATCATTGATTGATAACAATGATAGTTACTGGATTGATTTATTTTACAGCGCTGGGACTGACCCAGGTCCGTGCTAGACAAGTGCTCTACCACTGAGCTACTCTCCAGCTGTTTGCTTGTTCGTAATTATAACAGTTCAGCAGGTATGACGACTCACACCTGTAATCAAGTACTTAGAAGGCCTGAGGCAGGAGGATTGCCCTGAGTTCAAGGCCAACTTCAGCTACAAAGTGAGCTCCTGAGCAGCCTTGACTAGTATAAAACTTTGTTTCAAAAACTGAAGTAATAGTATTTTAATCCCCAAAACACTGTTTTTAAAAAGGCAGTAGAAATTACATATCCATATACATGTTCATTTCATATGTGTTTGTGAAGAGATATGCATATGTGTACGTTTTTTAAGTGTCTTTATGGTCATAAAGCCTAATTATCGTAACCACAACACCTCTCCATGTCAAAAGCACTTGTGTAGGAGCTAAGGCTATCGCTTGGTGGTAGAACACCTGCCTAACGTGCACTATATATACATGTACATAAGTATGTCTGGTATTTATAAGGAGTCAAGTCCTGAGTTCAATCCCCAGCAAAAACATTTTATACACACATACATTTACATGCATCCGTCTGTAGATGCATGGATATGCACAATGATTAAACAAGGTCATTGTCCACAGGAAAGGTTTGGTTAAGTATAATAGAACACCTTCTGCTGACATGAAGAAATGCTCAAGGGACAGCAAGCAGGGGGCATCTGGCGCATGACAGGGCACTGCATTCATGTGCACTTCTCCCAGGCACAGCACACTGCATGCTGGCCTTCTGGGAACACTGACAAAGCGACTGCTGTCAACAATGGGAGAGAGGGCCCAAGCCCCTAACCTCTCCCCCAAACTACTTCAGGACGAGACTCGTCACCTAAACCTGACCAGTACAGCATCTCATGGTAGGGCTGCTCCAGTGCCGATCGGAGAAGAAAGCACCAAGCGCCCGCTGTGCCACCCGATTCGGGCATCCAGAGGGCGCCTAGCAAGGGATCTGGGCAGAGATGCAGCACTCAGGGGGTAAGAATCTTCCTGTAGACTTTATCCCAAGCCTCGGGGCACGCCTACATCAGCTCCTCAGGCTAGGAGGCTCTTCCACACAGCTCCATGCCTCCCATCCTCCTCTTGCCTGGCATCTCATGCTGAGTCACCTCTAAGGAGGCCCCTAGTCCCTCAGAGCACCAGCTTCTCTTCCCTCACAGTGCAGCCTCCGCAATTGCCTCCGTGTTGACAGGTCGAGTGTCTGTCTCCTCAGGTAAACCTCCAGCCCTCCTCACATGGGTGCAGCTGGCCTGTGCTGTTGCAGGCAGAATTCCTTGGGAATGCCACGGAGTCGCTGTGCACGACTCTCCTGTCTAAACAAGGAGTGGGTGCCAGAGAGGACTCTCAGTCAGGCTGCTCCAAGTGAAGGGGGATCAGCTCCCAGGACCCTTCTCTAAAGGCAACTGAGCATTTCAAAAGCTTCTGTAGCATTCTAAAGGCAGCCCAACAATTCAAATTATATGTGAAGACCCAGACTGCACATGCCCTTAACCTGAGCCGCCTCACTTCTGCTTCCAGGTAAGTTCAGAGAGCCTGAGTCGCCTGCCCAAGGTCAATGCGTGAAGCTGTAACTGAAGGCAGACATACAGCTCCAGTGCCCTTTGGTACCGCACTGCAGGTACAGACCCTCTCGAGGCCACCCTGCAGCAGGAAGCCCATGACAGCCTCTTACCGGACATCTTTGTCAATCTGCAGCAGCACCTCGTTGTCCTTAAAATACGTGTTCCACCTGCTCTCAGGGTTTGGGTTGAGCGGCTGTGAAGAGAGAAGCAGATGCTGTGTGCAGGGCCAGGCAGGGCTGCGGCTCAGCGGTCTCCTACCAAAGGCCCACAGACCCAGCCTCCCAGGTTCTCAGAGGCACTTCCACACCACACAGCTGGGAGAGCCTTGCAGCCTGCTCTGTAGGGCAGACAGTGTTCTAGGCAGCACCCAGCCAGAAGTGTGCATGTGGCCATCACTCACTGAGCGCTGTCCAAAGGGTGAATGAATGAATGTCATCTCACTATCTACCAGGGCTTTAGGTAGTCAACTCCTATCTGGGAGGATGGGTCTGGGGCCAGCCCAGCTACACTTCCTGCCCTGTCAAGTATACATGAAGGAGTTCAGTATAGGAAGAGAAAAACAGGACTTTCTCCAGGCCTTGGACACGCATGTCTTTCAGCCTTACCTCTGCCCAGCTTTCTTCAACTATACAATCCTAGTGCCTTCCTCAAGAACCCAGGGTGAGGAGAGACGTGCAGCAGCGGCAGAGTTGATTGCCTACCACGTTTAGATCCTCTGCTCAACCTCCAAGCCCATCAAAAGGCAAATAAATGAACATTTAGCCAGGGATAAATCCCAGATCTTGGGAGGGCTGAAGCAGGAAAATTCCAAGTTTGAGACAAGCCTAGGCTATATAGCAAGATCCTGCCTCAAAAACACAAACAAACAAATCCATTTTGAGCCTTAGTGGGCAAAGGTGTTTGCTGCATGAGCAACGACCTAAGCTCAGTCCCCAACACAGGTGGGGCGGGGCGGGAACCGGCACAAATGATCCTCTCACCTCTGCGTCCGCCATGACATCAACCCTCACTGGCACCCACAGACAGACTAATAATCAATTTTTAAAAATGTTTTTAGGTTCAGGGTCACTCTTGGCAACAAACTGAGTCCAGGCCAGCATGAAATATACAAGACTCTATCTTTTTTTCGAGACAGGGTTTCTCTGTGTAGCCCTGGCTGTCCTGGAACTCAACTATGTAGACCACACTGGCCACAACCCCCAGAGATGCACCTGCCTCTGCTTCCTAAGTGCTGGGATTACAGGAATGTCCACCACCACCACCACCACCGCCCAGCAAGACTGTCTTTTTTGGTTTTTGTTGTTTTTTTTTAATTTATTTATTCACTTTTATTTCATGTACATTGGTGTTTTGCCTGCATGTATGTCTGTGTGAGGGTGTTGGATCCCCGGGAGCTGGAGTTACAGATAGTTGTGAGCTGCCATGTGGGTACTGGGAATTGAACCCAGGTCCTGTGGAAGAGCAGTCAGTGCTCTTAACCACTAGGTCATCTCTCGAGCTCCAAGACTCTATCTTAAAAAGAAAACAATGGGGGACTAGAGAGATAGACCAGTGGTTAAAAGCATGTAATACTCTTTTATTTACTTATTTAGATTTTTGGAGACAGGGTCTCTTAATATAGGCCTCGCTGTCCTGGAACTCACTATGTAGACCAGGCTGGCCTGGAACTCAGAGATCCCCTGCCTCTGCTTCCTGAGTGCTAGAAATAAAATCGTGCATCCTCCCAGCATGGAGCATGTACTACTCAGTAACAAAGGACCTCAGTTCCCAGCACCACATGGTGGCTCACAACCATCCGAACTCCAGTTCCATGGGATGATTCCAAGCAAGTGTGCATGCAGTAGTGCACACACACATACACACAAGCAAGCTGCTCATACACATAAAACAAATGAAGCTAAAAAATTCTTTTATTGGTTTTTTTGTTTGGTTTTAGTTTTTTGATTTGTTTCTCTGTGTAACAGCTCTGACTGTCCTGGAACTCAATCTGTAGACCAGACTGGCCTTGAACTCACAGAGTTCACTGCCTCCAAGTGCTGGGATTAAAGGCGCGTGCCACCACCACTCAGCTTAATTAACTTTCTACTAAAAACAAAAGTACTGTGGTGTGGGTTCCAGAGACCACGCCTAAAGAGCTCCTGGTGCAGGACGACTCCCAGTACCCTCGGGACAATGGTTCTCACTTATGCTACTAACTGGGCCTAGGGCTCCTGTGGTTAACTTGTGCCTAGAATAAGCAGGGAGACACCACTGTTTCCAAGGGCTGGGAAACCTGATGAAGGGCGAGGACCTGGCGGGAATGCAGGCCAGGCCCCACCCGTCCTCCAGCAAGGGGCCCTTGCCTGGTCCAAGCCTCTCCCCTCCCCAAGTCCATACTCATCCCCTGATGCCCATCTTACTTACATGGTCCTCAAAGGTCACATCCTCCCTGGATACACCCATGTTGGCCTTGGCAATGCCAGGCTGGATAATCATTTCTCTCAGGAACTGAGAATAGAGCCCCCTGCAGGAGTGAAGAGAAGGATGAGTCCAGAGAAGCGCGCACAGGAAGCAAGACAGGCTCTGTGTGAGGCGAAAACCCCCCACCCGCAGGTCTCACCTCTGCTTGGCCAGGATGGAAGTCCACGAGGCTCTCTCCAAAGGGAGGTAGTTCAGGAGGATCTGCACAGAGAACAACAGTACAGCTCTTGCAGCACCCCTGCCCCCGTCCTAGACAGCAGTGGAGGCACACAGGCCTCAAAAGAAAGGATTCATGAAGCCAGGAACAGGCGAGATGCCTGCGCCCAGGAGCTCCGGCCTGAAGAGTGGCCCCCTCCTCCTAGCCCCAGCTCTGTCCCTCCGCTTTCCTCACAGACTCTTCTAATGTGGAGAGAGCATGGCATTGAAGGGCTGGTAACCAGGAACAGATGTTGCCGCCACCTCAGCTAGTGGCTTCAGGGGGAACTAGCCTCTGTTTTGTCCCAATGAGCATCACTTCCAATGCGCACAGGCACCGGGAAGTGGAAATCTTTGCTGGCGTTATGAAGTGTTCCATCCCCAAAGGAGTCCTGGAGAGGATACCAAGAGAACACAAAACCCCACAACTTCCAGAAAGACATCCTCAGACAAGCAAGGAGAGGAACAGAGAGGAGGGGCCGGGAGGAGGTCCATGCAAGACCCAGGGCACCCCAAAACCAAGAAGCCCCACCCCAGGCACACCCACCTTCCAGCAGAGGCACCGCAGTCCGCCCTCACAGGGGATGCCTGTGGACACAGCAGGCAAAGGTCACCCAAAGCCAGAGTTCAGGAACCCCCCAGCCCTACACCTTGGAGCCAGTTGGCAGGGAGTGGAGCAGGCAGGAAGCACTTCGGGACCCATTCCCAACCAAAGAAATGTCTAAATTGGATGCTAACTCTAATTTCTGTCTACAGCCCTGTCCCCCAGCCAGAACCTCATCTGTCTGCAATGTTCTTTGAACCTTCTCATCTTTGATACTTTCTTCTTCAAAAAGGTCATTGTCAACTACCAACTCTTCTCAAAGCCAGGCTCTTCTTTTCGGGGAGGAAACAGAGGCTCACGTAGCCCAGGTTGGCCTCAAATTGACTATGGAGCCAAAGAGGAACTGCTGCTCCTCCTCCTCCTCCTCCTGAGTGGCAGAATTTATAGGTGGATTTAGCCACCATGTCTAGTTTATAGGGTGCCGAGAATCAAAAGTGGGGCTCTGTTCATGCTAGGCAAACACTCTATGAACCGAATGATACGCCCAGCCTCAGGCTCTCTAGTTTCTATTTTACTTTTTGAGACAGGGTCTCACGATGTAGCTCTGGCTGTGCGGGAACTCACTCTGTAGACCAGGCTGGCCTTGAACTCACATAGATCCACCTGCCTCTGCCTCCTGTTCTGGGATTAAAGGTGTGCGCCACCACGCTGGGCATGAGCATCTCTGCTCGCACACAATGGCTCTGTGGCTGTCTATAACACCCATCACAACCAGCATGATCTAAAACCTTGAGCATGAACTTAATGTGTGTAACTCCCACAGATGGGGAGGCCTCAGACAGACAAGAAGCATGTTTGTGGATGCTCCTTGCCTAGCACAGGACACAGAACACAAATGCCATTCCACATTTGTGAAATTCAAACCAGACTGTCAGGTTAAAAGCTCTGTGCCAGACAGCCATGATTTCACTAATACCCATTTTAGTTCCAGTAAGTATAAAAGATTAGCTCCCTCATCCTCACTTACAGATGAAGGAACTTATCTGTAGACAGAACCGAGGATTAGGACACAGGCGTAATGAGCAACCCAAGCTCTGTGCCATCACCACAGACGGCCTCCCCTCTGGGGCCTCCACAGCACTCCAGAATGGGAAGGTCAACTTCTGCAATGCCGCCAGGAACCTCCCAAGAACAGCTCTGACGATGGTGTCCCTGAGCCAATGCCCCTACCTCAGAATCTGCATGACCCAGGCAATGTGAACTCCTTCCTGGCCAAGTTACGGGGCAGAGCAGTGCCACAAGGAGCTATTCAAACACCTTGGGGTGTTTTTACAGACAGGGTAAAGAGCCAGCCAGCTATCTCTGTGCTGGAACATTAACCATGTGAGAAGGGCAAAGTCAAACATGGCTGATGTTCAACTCCTTAAGGCTGGTGTTCTAAGGCTTGAGTTTTAGCATTAACCAAAGGTCACGCTCAGCTCTGATCCAGGCAGAGGAACTGGGAACCACCCTGCAACTTCTGAAACTCAGGAAACTAGCTGAGAAATGACAAGTGCCTCTCCTAGGCTCAAAAGGTCAACCCCATTTCAATCTTCAGGCTACTTCAGGCAATCTGGGGCCGAAGGGTGGTTACCACTCCTACAGCATCCAAGCAGCTCTATGAAATCAGCCTGGCCTCCTTGGGTATCGTCTTGATGCTTCTCCCTCCCTCTTAGCCCTGCTCTTCCAGGGAACCTGGAAGGAAAATTGTGCCTTACCACTAAAGCTGAGTTCTCGAAGCTTTTCCAACACAATGGAGGGCTCCTTCAGGACATCCTGGAAATCTGCAATCCTTCAAGGGCAGAAGAGGAAACCCCAAGGTAACAGGCTTAATGACCAATCTTGCAGCCCACAGATCCCTGACCTCAACAGTCTCCAACTCCTAGCTTAGGGAAGTGGGCAAGACAAGTTTCTTCCTCTAAAGTCCGCAATGCCAACGAAGAGCAGGGGGTGGGGGGGTGTTCTAGTCAAACGGTTTGAAATGAGACCTTAACACCAAGTCACTGTTAGTGAGCTGGCATTTCCTGGGCATTTGCTGTGGGCAAGGCCAGCCCACAGCACACCGCTACCTGAACTCACACAAGCAAGCTTCGCAACCAGGAGTAATTTGATCCACAGACAACGGACCTGAACAGTCTCCCCACCACTCCCACAGCTCTTGGCTGGGGAAGGGGGAGGGGGCACAGACTTCTTGGGCCTGCCCTCAGGCAAGGACAAAAGGCTAAAAATTAGTCCTGGAGTGAGCAAAATTTAGCCGACGCGGCAAGATGTAGCCTTGGCGGGGAGGGGGAATTAAGAGGCCAGACTGGAGACCTCGGGTTCTCTCTCGTGTTTCTCATAAGCAAGGAGCACAGGAACAGGAGTATTTCGGGGGAAAAAAAGAGGAGCCTGGAGCCAGGAAGTGGGGAGGGTAATAGGTCTGAACGAGGGGGACACCAGGGTAAGGGGTCCAGAGAGAGAGAGAGAGGTGACAGCAACGTAGAAAAGCATCTCTGCTTCTCCCCCCCCACACCTCCCGCCCCCCAGGCAATGATGTTGTGAAGTGGGTGCTGGGGACCCTCCGCCGGGGGTGGGGGCTATTCTTGGCCGCACATGCGCTGAGCAGCTCCGCCGGGGAGAAGGCGCGGCCCGGCCGGAGCGGTCCAGGCTCGGTCCTGCCCTCGGGTCTCCTCCTTACCGGCTCTTGTGCAGACTCGACATGGTGTTGACTTCCGGACCCCCGGGCTGCTTCTGCAGCCCCAGCTGCCGCCACTGCCCCCCCTTCCCCCTCCGGGGACCCGGGGAGCCCCGCAAAAGCCTCCGGCGGGAAGCAAAAGCGAGAGCGTGCACGTTCCGGAGGAGGCCGGCCGCGCTGGTTCCGCCCCGGGATCACGTGACGCGGGGCGGCTTTCAGGCCAGGCAAACCCCTGCGCTGAGCGCCAGGGCAGCCCGTGAGCGCGCTGGCCGCCGGCCCTGGGCCTCGGTTTCTGGCTACGTAATACACTTGTCAATCTCTCTCGCTCCCTGTCATTAACCGCGGCGCAGTTGCTTGGTGAACTGGATCCAGTCCCCGGGTGTGGTCTTGTTCAATACTGAGTCCTTATGGAAATGACCGTGTGGCTCAGTAAGTACCGCTTGGAGAAGCCGGAGTACAGCTCGGTGTTTCCTTGCCTTTGGGAGTTCATAAACAGAATTTCTGAGGGTGAGGTTCAGCTGGTAGAGGGCTTGCCTGGCATGCCCTTCGCCTGGGTTTCCGATCCAGCACCGCTAGCAGTTGTTGTAGTTGGATGTGGGGATGCATGCGTGGGGATGCGGCTCTTGAGAGAGGTGGAAGCAGGAAGATCAGAAGTTCAAAGTTGTCCTCTGGTAGAAGTGAATTCGACGTTGACAGTTGAGGGAATAACGCGCTTGCATGTTTGGATCCATGGAACTCATGTAAGAGCCGAGGGGCGGAGATGGTAATCCCTGCATGTGCAAGGTGATGGGGCAAACTGGCTCCCTAGACTACCCTCAAAGAATAAAATGGTGGGCGATCACGGAAGACAACTGACTTTTAGGTCACACATGCACACTGTGCACCTACATATTCCCACACATATTTGCACACATACACACATTTTTTTTTAAAGTATATGGATGGGTGCTTTGCTTGCATGTATGTCTGTGCATCTCTTACCTGCCCAGAGGTCAGAAGAGGGTGTTGGATCCCCTGGACCTGGAGCTGTGAGCCATCATGAGGGTGCTGGAAAGTGAACTAGGCCTTCTGTAAGAAAAGCCAGTGCTCTTAACTGCTAACTATCTCTCCATCCCTTACACAATATTTTTTAGTAAAGAGAGCTGGGGATGGTAGAGGCAGGTGGATCTCTGTAAATTCAAGGCCAGCCTGGTCTACAAATTGAGTTCCAGAACAGCAAGAGCTGTTACACACACACACACACACACACACACACACACCACACACACACACTTTAATCTCAGCACTCAGATGGCAGAGGCAGGCAGATCCCTGTGAGTTTCAGTCCAACCTGGTCTATAGATCGAGATCCAGGACAGGCACCAAAACTACACAGAGAAACCCTGTCTCGGAAAAAAAAAAAACCTGTCTTGAAAAAACTAACTAACTAACTAACTAAATATTAAAAGTAAAGGAAGGGGAGAAATCAACATGTCAGAAGTCCTTCTCAAGTTCATCTACACCCATACACATTCATAATTGCACATTTTAATTTTTTCTAAGAGCCAATGAAGACTTTAATGTTGGACAACACCACTTCTCAGCTCCTCTGATTTTCATGTTCCTGGCCACTAGGACTTCACTGGCCAATAGAGCAGGCTTACAATTTTCTAGTTCCAAGTCCCAAAGTTTCCCATATTCCTCCAGAAAACAACATGTTCAGGTTGGTTGCAGCAACACCCCAATCCTGGTAACAACTTCTGTCATAGTTACTGTTCTCTTGCTGTGACAAAACACCATGACCAGGACAAGTCTTAGAGAAAAAAGGGGGGTTTATTTGGGATTATGGTTCCATCGCCATCATGGCAGGGAGGCTTGGCAGCAGGCAGCCACCGGCAGACGGGCAGCAAGCTAGAGCTCATATCTTGAAGCACAAGCACAAAGAAAGAGTAGGGCTGGTGAGTTGACTCAGCAGTTAAGAGTACTTGTTGCCAGCACTCGAGAGGCAGAGGCAGGAAGATCTCTGTGAGTTCAAGGCCAGCCTGGTCTACAAAGCAAGTTCCAGAACAGCCAGGGCTACACAAAGAGACCCTGTCTCTAAAAACAAACAAAAAAAGTGCTTGTTGCTCTTGCAGAGGACCTGAGTTCAGTTCTCGTTACCCATAGAGCAGCTTGCAACAGTCTGTAACTCCAGTTCCCGGGGATCTGAAGCCCTTTTCTGGCACCAGGCATGCACATAGTGCACATACATAAATCATACACATAAAACAATAAAATTAATCTACAAAAAATTAAGGAACTGGGTAGTGGTGGTGGCGGCGGCGGCGGCGGCGGCGGCGGCGGCGGCGGCGGCGGCACACACCTTTAATCCCA